TAATAAGGGAAATTTCTATTAGAACTGGTTTTAGATACTGGAGGAATTACTGTGAATTTCATTAAATGTAATAATGGCTTTGTGATTAACTATATATTTAGAGATACATACTGAACTACATGTGCGTAAAAATAACACGATGTTTGGAATTTGCATTAAAATACTGTAGCAAAAAAAATAAAAAATAATGGGCCGGCCAGTGGCTCACTCGGTAGAGTGCGGTGCTGATAACACCAAGGCCCCGGGTTCGGATCCCACATAGGGATGGCCGGTTCGCTCACTGGCTGAGAGTGGTGCTGACAACACCAAGTCAAGGGTTAAGATCCCCTTACCGGTCATCTTTTAAAAGAAAAATAAATAAATAAAAAATAAAAATTAAATAAATAAAAAATAAAAAAGAAATAGATGAAGTAAAAGTGGCAAAAATTTGATACTCTTTAATGAAGGTGGGGTTCACTATGCCATAGTTGTCTCTAAATATCTGTTTCAAAACATGCTGGAAGTTTTCCATAATAACAAATTCTTGAGCAGGTTACAAAACTGTACATAAATGATGTGTGCATATGTGTGTGTGAAAAAAAATATTATAAAATATTACTAGTGAGTATTTATCTCTGGATTGTAAGATGGCAGAGATTTAAATTTTTTCCTTTGTAATTTTTAGTATTTTCCAATTTCTCTAATAAGCATATATTACTACTTTTAAAATAAAACAAATCTATTAAAAGTATCATTTCACTAGATTTCAGAAAATGTAAAGGAGATAATGTTATGAATGCATTTCTTCTAAACAATTTAATTACTTTTCTACCATAGTGCTATGTGGTAGAGAACCACCATTAGAATTAATTGAAAAATGTCTCATAGGCAAAAAGGGCTAATTCTGAATAGTAATTAGCTATTATAATATAAAAATGGAAGACTTTTGTGTTCATATAAGCATGAATTTGTTTTAATAAAGAATGGGGGTTTTATTAAGCAAACATATTTTCCCAGTGTGAGCATCATTACTAAAAAAGCTTCTAATTACTTCTCTTTCAAGATCTCAGCTTTGTAAAATAAAAATTTTTCAGTTGCTCCTCTACATTCCATTTTCTACAACTGGCCAGAAAACTTCAAGAATTAAACTAAAGCAAGATCTTTCTTGAATAAGAAGCACAGTGGTCACTTATGTATTCATTCTCCAGAAACAAAGAATTTTCCATCTTGGGTGTTGAAATGTCATCTCAATGTCATTTCAATAACTTTGAAATTACTGCACAATGCTTTTATTTCCTCCATGGGGGAGGGGGGGGCTGGGGGGTCAGGGACGGTCCTTATTACAATTACCACGATCTTCCTACTATCTGAAGTATAATGCCATAATCTTCACAATGGCATTTGATAACTTACTGCAGAAACCTCATTCTGTTATGAATTTGCAAACACATGGTAGTTTCTGCCTAAGTGAGAAGGATATAATGTCAGTTACAAAGTCTCTTTCTCCACCTCTATTGTTTAAGCCACAAATGATACCGTTCCATTGACACTCAGCCAAAAGGAAGTTTGCTTTGCACCTTCATAGTTCTGAATTATACTTTAAAAATGAAGTCATAAATGTAAACTAGGTCCACAAATTCCAACAAAACGATCATAAAGAAACCTCAAATTATAGGTCTTGATTGTTGCTTATGTTTCCCATTACAAAAGGTCAAAGTTTTGACTTTCCCTAAGAGTTAATACTAAGATTTCATCCACTTAAAATCCCAAGGAGAAATACAGGCAGGATACAAGAGGGTAAGAAGAGCCTTTTGGTTTAAAGTAGTAGCTTTTTTCAAACCCAGGGAAGAAGGAAAGGATGAGTGAATTCAAACTTAATGGGAGCCATGATATCACTAAAGCTCTCTATTCACAAGGACTCATCTGAAGTCATTCTCTCTCATCTTAGTGGCAGAGACTTATTCTAAGTAAGAAGCTAGCTTAGCCACTACCAAGCATTTTAGACCTGAAAAGTACCTCCTTGAAGAACATCCAATTATTTTCAAACTGTTTTTTTTTCCTCACCTCCAAGCCCTTTTAAATAAAACCTCATGTAAATATCAAATACACAAAACAGAAAAAAGTAGTACTACTCCTGTAGTGTGGAGAAGAAGAGGTTGGAAATCTACCTGCTTAGTATCTGCTCCCCACTCCCTATATGAGACAGCTTCCCCAGCAGTAGACCCCCTACGGCTCTTTGGAACACAATTTGAAAATCAGTAAATTTGTGAGCCTAGAGAAAGATAAGGAAAGGTATACAAAAGGTTGATAATGCCCGTTTTCTTTCCTTTTCAGAGGCGGTGGGGGGAGTGCCAAAGAGACAAAATAAAAGAGAAGACAAAATAAAAATAGCCAAGCTGTGGTGCAAATATAGACTATAAGATTGTATGTATGATATTATTATATCTCTATAAAAGTAAATATGTATACAATCAAGTACTGGGTAGTAATGTGAGCAAATAAAAATATAGATTTGAATGAGATTATGAGCAATTTTCTGTACTTTTGCAATAAGTAATGTCTTTTAAAAAGGAAAGAAAATTGTTAGTCTGTTCTGTTCATTTACAGTTGAGTAAATGAAGCCCAGATTTAACTGGAAGCATATGCAAGCCCTCAAAGGGCCTTGGCTACAATATTTAGTCAACTTTTTACTTACAAAGGAGTAGTAGATTATAAAAACTACAACTTTAACTCTACCAAAAGCTCCAGTTGAGCTATTTTTCCATTCTCAAAAGCACAAATTAGTACTATAGGGACAGATTTTATGATATGCTTTAGAATAAAAAGGACTGGGGCAACTCAACAAACATTTATCATCCAACTTATAACTACAAAACTGTTCCAAATGCTATGTGCCATACACAGACAACTAGGATATGGGTTGTTGCTATGAGTTAAATGTGTCCCCTGAAGGTTCATGTATTGGAAACTTAATCCCCACTGTAACAATGTTATTAGAGGGTGGGAAATCCTATTATGGTAACTGAAAGGTGGGGCCTTCAACAGATGATTAGATTGTAAGGACTGTACTCTTGTGAATGGATTAATCCACTGATGAATTAATAATAATACGTGTGGTTCTGATGGCTTTAAAAGGACAGCAAATGAGGTTAGCTCTCTTGCTCAGCCATTCACCATGTGACATCCTGTGTTGCTGTACAGTCACCACCAAGAACAAGGCCCTCACCAGATGTATTCCCTGGACTCTGACATCCCAGCCTCCAAAACAGTAAGAAATAAATTTTATTTCATTATAAATTAGCCAGTTTCGGGTATTCTGTTATAAGCAACAGAAAAGGAATAATACAGGGAGTGAGACATTGCTTATAACTAATACCTGAAAATGCAGAAGCAGTTTTGGAACTAGGTGATGGGCAGAGGCTAGAACAATTTGGAGGAGCCAGCTAGAAAAAGCCATGATTCTGGTGACAGTTTAGAAGACAAGACGACCAGGGAAAGTTTGGAATGCCTTAGAAACTGGTTAAATGGTGGTGACCAGAATGCTGATAGAAATACGGACAGGAAAGGCCATGCTGAGGAAGGCTCAGATGTAAATGAGGAAGAGCTTATTGGAAAATGGAGCAAGAGTCACCCCTGTTACAGAGTTTCAAGGAACTTGGCTGCATTCTGTTCATGCCCAAAAGTTTTATGGAATGTGGAACTTCAAAGAGATGAAGCAGGGCATTTGGAAGAAGAGATTTCTAAGTAGCAAAGCATTGAGGAAGCTGTGTGGATACTCATAACAGCCTGTGCTGAGTTATGGCAGAAAAGGCATGACATATAGCCAGAATTTATAATTAAAAGGGAATCAGAGGGTAAAAAATTAGAAAACTCTCAGTCTGGCCATTTAAAAAGTGAAAAGGTGTCTTTGGGAGAGGAAACCAATGGTATAACCCAGCAACCCCCTGATAAGGAGATTAGTAGAGAAGAAAAGGATTATCAAGAAAATGGAAGAAAGACCCCAAAGGTGTTCCAGAAATTTTTCAGGCTGCCTCTCCTATCACAGGCCCAGAGGTCTAGGAAGACAGTATGGTTTTGAGGAACAGGTCTGAGGTACCCTCTATGGGCTCACTGCCCAAGGCCACCTCAGGATGCTACTCCCCAAACAAAGCCCTCACCAGATGTGCTCCCTGGACTTTGGACTTCCCAGACTCCAAAACTGTAAGAAATAAATTTTCTTTCATTATAAATTACCCAGTTTCAGATATTCTATTATAAGCAACAGAAACGGACTAATATAGCTGCTCTTCAAGAGTTTACAATGTAATGAATATAAACAACCCATTATAAGGGAGAATGAAAGAAAAGTAAGAACAGCTAATTCCAACTTGGGACACGGAAGAAAAGGTCATGAATCAGTGTGTTTGGTGAACTTTAAAGAATAAATGTAAGTTCCCCAAGTGGCAGAGCCACCGCACTGCACAACTCCCAGAAATGATCTTTCAAGGTGACCCAGCCAGGTAAAGAAAGGGCAAAGGCCAGACCAAACTAAGGATAAACATCAGCAAAGGCAGGAAAGGCATAATATGATGTTCAGGGAAAGGTGAGTCATTTGGTTCAGCTAAAATGCGTGGAGCAGTAGGAGTAAGGAGAAATATAGGAGACAAGATTGAAAATACAGGCTAGGAACATGTTAGGGCAGGTTTTCAGATTAAGCCAGCTTAAAAAGAAACATTTAACTTGGACTTCAGGAAAAGAAGTCTAGCAGGAATATGGACATTATGGAGGAAAAGAGACTGGAGGTAAATTAAGACTTGAATGAGAAGAGCCTTGAATTGGGCACCAGAAATGAAGAGAGAATGTTGGTACTGCCAATGAGAGATAATTGCAACAGTCTTGGCAAAACAGTTTGTCACTTTCTGGTCAGTCACCTGGTTTAAGGCAGTATGAGAGTCAAAATATTAGTTACATAATCCAACTACTTTAACAATTTTGGTATAGCTCATAATAAGCTTTAGAACAAATATGCACGTGCTCAGTACCTTCACTTTCCCAGGCCTGGAGCTGATCTTGATCCCTGGTAGCACTGCCCAATACCTCTCTAGGGACAGGCTCCATTCGTGCATCCACTTTCTCTTGGTGAGAGGACTGGTTAAATCCTTCCATGGCCTTTTGGAAAAAGAAGTTCAGCTCCTCAAAGTTCATAGCCTGAAGTTCTGCATAAAGTTCTACCTGTTGGGCTTCTTCCAGCTCATTCCAGAACTGTATCAGGTGTTCTTGCCCAGCTTTGGACAACCTGAGTCTGAGGTCATTGACATTCATAATGCTCTGGTAGCCAAGCTTTGTGAAGATAAGGGTGTAATTTCTGCACCTGTAAACCTAAAAGAGAAAAGGAATTAATAGCAGGTCAAAGTCCAACCTCTAAACCTGAGGAGTTTTTTCTTACTAAAAATAAGTACACTTTAAAAAGTTGATGTTAAGGAAATTAATTTTTGCCTTTCCACCACTCAGTATTTATAAGACATTGAACTGCAAGCCAATAACAGTTAGCATTATGTACCAGGCACTGAACTAAGTA